GGGGGAGGGGGCATATATTATTCTTTTTATAACTCTTTCTTTTCTTCCCTTCATGTTTCCAGACTTTTGCCTTTCGTTTAGCTTTCCTGCTTACTATGTGGCATCTTCTCATTATGCTTACACTTAAAACACTCCTCTTATTAACTGTCACCTCACCTCTAGAAGTTGAGCTACGCAGAAGTCATTCTTTACCCTAAGCAAAATGGTTTTTTGTAACATTGCTCAATATGGTAATTAAAAATGCAGTTTTACCTATGAAAGCTAAACTGAAAGCCTCTTCAAATTAAGAGTTTATTTTTGACTCATTTAGTTTTTCTTAAATTCTCTTTACTGTAGGAGAATTACACCCTCCTTCCTTAGTCTGCTTCACCTTTCTTGCTCATGCTTCAAACCCGATAGTATTGTGTTAAGCTGCAGTGAAAGGCAGCATGACCAATGCTGAATCATTGTCAAGTCTGTAAAGGGGTATTTCACTCAACTATGCAGACTCATAAAATAAATTATGTGGGCATTTCTGGAGAAAATAGGTGGAGATGCATAGAAGTGGGAGTTCACTATTCCCTTCAGTGGAAGCCTCACTAAAATTACTTGGAATTCATTTCAACAGGTGGTAGAAAGTGTGGATTTTGCCATAAAAAGAGCAATATCATCCCCACCATATTAATGTGGTGAGAATGGTATTGCTCCTTCATCCAGGTAAGTGTATCCTAGCAGAGTAAAGAGGAAAGCACATAGTAGGGGAAGAACACAGTATTTCTAATTGGTTTGCATAGGCAAATTAAAAAAAACAAGTCTAATTTTATGTACAGCAATGTATGCAGTTTAACTTAGGTCTACCTTTGATATTAAACTCTGCTGAGATGTAGGAGCCCAGAGCTCTGTGAGGCCTTTCGTAGCTGAGAGCTTATTCACAGGCCTCTAAAGATACCTGTAATTTGCAGGGTACTTTGAGTGGAATGTAGGATTTGGGATTGCTCGACCACTTCTGAGATTAGATGCTGACTTGGCATATCCTGGCTTGTATTGCTTGTCAGACTGCTAAATACTAAATTAATTTGCAGAGCAAATCAAATTCTGATGTGGGAGTAGAGCCTGGGCGTTCTCCATACTTCAGTGGTGATTGATCTATTTGAGCACAGAAAAACAATTTTCTCCCTCTCTCATCACAAGGTTTTCTAGCCATCAGAAGTCTGGGAAGCAAACAGATGAGGAAGGCAGAGAAATCTACGTTGGGTTTTGGGTGGTGTTTGTTTGTTTGTTTGTTTTTTCTCTGCTCATTTACATGTCATCTCTGAAACTTGAATACTAGCCAAGACTCATCCCAATGATTTTATGCAGCAAATTTATTTCTGAAGACACAAACTCTTTCTGATGCAAAAGGATTGACACTTTTATTATTTTGTAATAGGAGCTTTGTTTCTTATTAAAATATTCAAGGAGTTTTCACCAGATATGTGGGATTTTTTAAATGTTAAAAAGCAAAAAGGCTTATCTTGCTGTGCTGCAACTCATGTTCTTGGTTTATTTGGAAATAAGCACAGCAATACCATCTACTGGAATGCTCACCTAGCCTCTCTTTCCCCTCCTTCTTAGGCATCCAGTATCCCCATATAATGCAAAGGGAGAACTTTGGATTGTATGAACTGCTTCTCAAAAGCATGCTGCCTAGAGAGCAGCACGCACTAGAAGGGGTCAGGCTTCATTTAAGAGGGTAATTTGTCAGAAACTGTAGACAAGACTTACTTGCGGTGTATGTGTGTGTGAGGGGGAGAAAAAGAGAAATCAAAACTCAGGTTAGAAAACTCAGATGAGCTGTGGCAAATGTGACCTCAAATCTGTATCATGTTTCAGAGCAAGATGTTACTATTTCTCAAACAGACCATGTAAATATGCTAGAAGAAGCTGAAGAGATTGGTCAAGATGATCAAAGGAAAGGGAATTTCTGTTCCAAGAGTCCTCTTTAGGACTGCAGTGTAAAGGCTCTGATCTGCAGGGGCTGCATCAGTGCCTAGGTGGCTGTATGTATAGGAAACTACCTAGACGTCGAGTGCCAAAACAGAGGGTAAAATACACACAGCACAACAAGAAGCAGGGCTTTTAAAATCAAGCAGAATATTGTGCCAAGGCAAATGAGTTGCAGGTGGTAGATGAAAGGCTGATTTGAGTTTCTCTGCATGGAACTGCACTGTTTCATGTAGACTCAACATCAGAATACAATTTATTAAGAAATCAAAGTCAGCTAGTTGAGATTCATTGTGTTTAAGTGGTGGACTGAAGTGGGTAAAGAGACAGGAGCCTAACTACTTTTGCAATCATAGATTTAGCTCTTGGCGTATCTCTCTTTCCCCCAAAGCAGCACACATGATACAGTAAATACAATCCAAAATTGATTTTACTGTAGCTAAACTTTGTTATGATCATGGCTTTTACCTGTCACTAACTTCCTCCAAAACATACAGTCCCTTTCAGTTTTCATTTACCTTATTTCTTGAAAATTATATGGTGAATTTGTAGGATAAGACTAGAGTTTTTCCCCACACACACTCCAGGCTTTGCAATGCTGAAACTCATAAATGCTACTGCATGATGAAAAGTTCAAGAGACAAAGGTACATCCAGGACTGCTCCCTGGTCCCTGGAATGTACCTGCTACCCCGTAGCCATGAGGGGTTGGACATCATGTCAGGGCTGTCACAAAGGTTTTCAGTTGTCTCATCGAGTTGATCACACAAGAATCATAGTCACTAGTCTGTGTAATCCAAAACTCTCCTGACAAGTGAGGTACATTGGAATAGTGATTCCTGTGAAAACTCACAAAGCTAGCTATACAGCACAAACACTTTCTTTTTAGTAGGTGTTAAGAAAGTTTTGTCTATATAGCAATACAGGTGCATTCTCACAGCAGGTTGTTTGCAATGTTTCAACAGAAGATGCATTTCCCAAAGCAATTCAGTTTCATTTTGAGAATGAGTCTGATTTAGAGGCAGAGAACATCTGAGTAGATGTTTTTCTCTATCTTTGTTCTAATGGAGATGGGAGCAAGGGGGAACTTAACATTTACAAATAGGAAAAAAGAATTAATATGACATAGTGGTAAAGTCAAGCCAAAGAACGTAAATGGTTTATCTCTTGCAAGGTGCAGCTTGATTTTTATCAAACCTGTCCAATGGAAAACAATGTTTCAGGTATGAGGCAGTACCTCTGTGCAGAGGGATGGCAAGTAAGTAGTGCACCAAAAATTAAGATGGAAGTGAAGTAGTACAGAGAAAACTAAGAAGTAAGAAAATGTCAAGTTACATATTTAGGAAACTCCTCCTTGCTGAGAGGAGGAAAAAAATTATGCGAGACTAGCTGCACTTTTAGCCTAAACAAATGTTCAGGAGACAATCCAAAAAAGCTTTGAAGGGAGTCCAAATCAAGCCTCCAGTTTTTCTCATAATTAGCCAGTCACAACTGATCTTTCTGATACACCTGCACGTTAACAGCACCAGCAGAGACCAGCTCGGCAGTAGAAGAATGCTCCTAAGCCCTCATCTCTGCATGTGAACCCCTCGCTGCTGCAAACTGCGGGCTGACAAGCACAAGTTGTGCCACAGGGCACACTATAAGCTGTGTGATAACAGCCATAAAATAATGAGTGAACAGACTTAAACAATCCTAGCTGCTTTGCTCTCAGAATAACAGTAGTAGAATGGCATCAGCTAAATCTTTGTAAAGGATTTGTGGGTTTTCACATTCATGACTTGGCCTGTTAACACTATGCCTATACAGTTTGCCTTTCAAATTATCACTCAGAACTATAAATTACCTTTTACCTGCCAAAATAATGAGCTTGATTGTGGTTTTGAATTTTTTTTTTTAGTCTCAAATCTAATTTAAGAATATGCCCTTTTACTAGGACAGTCTCCGCCTTACAGTTCTTGAATTAAAAACACAGATCTAAAGGCTTACTTAAATTGAAGGAAGGTGCAAATGTATCTGATAAAAAGGTATGGTAAAATGCAATTTATTACTATATCGTACTTCCATAAAAGCGGACCAAATTGGCCCGTAGGTTAAACTGGTATGTAACTGATAACACTTCTGATGTGTATATTGCTAATTTCCTATCTGTCAGGAACTTTTAATTTACATTTTTGGTTGCTGAGTAATTGTGGGAAATTTGCTATGCAAATAAGACTATATTGATACCTAAAAAATCTTTTATTTGGTTGAATTAGCAATAACTTCCTATACTGTTGCATACCGATGCCAGTCACGTGTATGGCTTTTAATACTGTTGGAAAGTCATCTAATGGGTTTAGGCTTATTAAAGGTAGGTTATATTATTTTCAAACACAGGAATATCTTGCAAAATAATAAAAAAGAGATAAACTATATTAATCTAACTTTCATTCTAAGGGAAAGGGAAAAGGAGATAAATTTTTTAAAAATGAAACAACACAGGAATGTGTCAGCGACCAAGGATAATCCAGTATGAACTGGGAGATGCAGGGAGAGACAAGATCATAAAGAAAAGGGGTGGCAATGCAAAGCAGGAAGAAGCCTGAGAGTGATAAGGTAGCAACTGCTTGGTTATAATGACTATAAACACCTGCATGGCAGAATTATAAAAGAAAATCAATTAAGACTGTTGTGAAATGGTTTGGTTAGGGTTTTTTGTTTGTTTTTAAATGATTTAATAATAAGTAAATACAAATTTTTGTTTCTTTTTAAAAGGATTTATTGAACTTGACTCACTTCTGCCTTGAACTATGTAGATGCTTAGGGTTCAGTTTGCAAAGGTACTGAAAAGTAGGTGGCCAAATTTTACTGGAATTATGTGAAATTAAATTACTCGGCCGGGAAGCAAGGCAAATTGTCGCCCTTCCTGAAATCCTTACTGCTGTGCCTTAGGGTTTCTTCAGAGCCAGTTGCAGATACCTCTGACCCAGAGGAGTCCTCGGGCCAAGCAGAAATGAAATGACAATTCCATGGAAAAGGCAGTAAACAAAGTAAATGTAAATTGTATTGTTACATATTTGATAGGTTTTTGCTCTTTTTTCCCATATTCTGCACATGGCACAATGGCTACTGGCAACTCGGAGCTGGAGGATGGCTTTCTTTTGAAACAGAAGATGTGCAGCAAAGGGGAGTTGTCGTAGTTTAACTTGGCTGGCAGCCAAACACCACACAGCTGCTCGCTCATCCTCTGCCACCCACCAGGGAATAGGGGAGAGAATTGGCAGAGTAAAGGTAAAGATACTAGTAGGGTTGTGATGAGAACAATTTAATAACTGGAATAAAATAAAACTTAAAATAATAATACTTACAATACTAATGATAATAATAGAATATACAAATGAGTGCTGCACAGTGCAATTGCTCACCACCCGCCGATAGCGATTCCGGAGGAGCGAAAAATCCCAAACCCACAATCCCAGAAGAGAGCAAGAGCCAGCATTCTGGTCAACCTTCACCTATATACTGAACATGATGTTATATAATATGGAATATCCCATATATATTCCATATATGATATGGCATAGCCAAATGCCAATTTGAACCCGTCACTCTCCTGTCAGCTTCTTCTGCACTTGCAGACCACCAAAACACGGGAAGTTGGCAAGACCTTGATTTCCCAGCAACAACTAAAAATTTCAGTGTTATCAACATCCTTCTCATACCAAATCCCATACTGAATAAAAAAAATAGCACTATTGTAACTACTGAGACAAGAAAATTAGCTCTGTCCCAGGCAAAACCAGGACAGGACTGATTTGAAAAATATTTGGAGACTCTATTCTTTAACTTTCCAAACCTGAATGAAAGCTGAAAGTTATTATACCTTTCACAAAGTTCAGAAAAACATAATTTCAAGCCAATCAAAATATTTAATTTTGATTTCTGAATTTCAAAGTTACTTTTGAAATACAGAACAATCTTCTGGACCAAAATATCACTCTAAAAATATCATTACCTTTCCAAAGTTTTGTTCCAAAATGTTGAAATGTTGGAAATGAATTATAGCAAAATAGATCTGATCTCATGTGCTTGTTTCAAAGGAAATGCACAGATGGTGTATGCTTCTGGTGAATGATTCTGTTTAAGTCTTTGAACAGATCTAATAAATACAACATCACTGAGCCTGGCATTACTAATCTGTAGTTTCAAAAGCAGCTGCATTTTAATCATTACAGATCAATTAAAACAGCAAAATATAAACAACTTATAGGTTACCTCTTCTCCTTCTTCAATATGATAATCCTTCCTTTCATTTGGCCCCCCAACAAACATCACATTCAATTGATGGCGATGCCTAGAAAATGAAGTGACATTTTAAAGTTACTTCGACTCAGAGTGTTCTTTATTTCATATAAGTTTTTTTTTAATTCTTAAAGGACAGTGAGTCAACAAAACAATACTGAGTGACAAGCAACATTCAGAGTGAGAACTCAAAAGACCTTGGATGAATCTCTCTGCTCTGCCACTGTCCTGCCTGGTGATCAGCTACCTCCCTCCTGGTGCTTCAGCGCCTCCAGCTATGAAAAGGGGACAACGATAGTTACCAGCTGTGGAAAGAGCTTTGAACTGTGAAGATTTCTACATGAGAGACAGGAACGACAAGAAAATGCCTTTTCAACATGAGATTATTAGATCAGGATTCTGTAAAGGTAAAATAATTTTTAAGGTTAATAAAGGTAAAAACATACTTTTATTTCCCCATTGGTAAGATTTACCAGAGATATTGCTAGTAGGAATTATCAGCTAATTTCTCTTCTATGTGTACTGGGGTCGCTAAGGTGGAACATTACAATGGTTTCATTGTGGTTGTGGTTCATTCAGAAAAGGAGACTCAGGCCCTTTATCTTAACTTTGCCCCTTTTAAGAACCCCAATGAGAACTCCTCACAGCTGTCACAAAGAACAAGTATCATCGAGACTATCTACCAGTCCATTTACACTAATAAAGAGGTAAGGCAGCAGGTTTTCATTTGCTAAAAAACCCCTGTAAATCAGGCCTGTTAGCCCGGATTCAAAATTTGTCCTTAAGTTCTTTTTGTCATGTGAACTGGGGGGTGCTGACCTCTACTTTTTAATGAGGAGATGATTCAGGGCAATACTTGGGCTTACAGGAGACCCTAGTAACACAGACCCAGCAGAGCCATGCTCCCCTGCAACACGGGGAAGAACAATGTCAGCACCTGGTAAGCCTTAATTGAGAGAAGCTATTCTGAACTGCTGAACATATATATTTGATCTGCTACTATTATCATGTTCACTTTGAAAACTATTTAAATGATCATGAACAACACAGTAGGGATTAATAAAGCAGAAATAACAAGTAACAGCGACAAATTCCTTGGTCAAATAAAAGTCTAAAGAATTAAATTAGATTACAGTTCTTAAATTGACTATTTTCACCAATGGAAGTTGTATGCATTATAGCACTTGGCTTCTTGCCCATAACCTAAAATAAGGAACTGAAATCAGTAGTGTTTGTACTACGCAGATTTAATATTCATTTTCAAGAATGCACTTTAGTGCTTCTGCCTTAATGAACCCCTATACTAAAGAGGGGCAGGAAGACCAAACCAGTAAGAACACAGCTAATAATTAATGAAATAAATTAAAATCAATCCTGGAGAATAAAAAAAAATAAAAAAAAAAAAAAAAAGAGAAAGACAATCTATGGCTATCTGTAGCATACTTTTAAGATGAGTTAATTTTTCATAGAAACCCATACAGTTTCTTTATTAGTTCAATAACTAAAAGTTAAAATATTGCTCTAAAAATCATTGTTGCTTAACTTTTTGTTTGGCAAATCTACCAGTAATTCTGTTACTCTATGGATTTAGCTGGTTTTTACATAATAAACAGGCAACTGTGGGATAATCATTCCTATCATTAACGATTATATAATGACACCATCAAAAAATTCCAGCTATCAAATACAAACAGGGACTCCAATAGGATTGTTTGTCCATACTGCTAAATAAAATTGTCTGGTTAATATAGTTGCATTAAGTTAAGAAGAAAAGTCGTAAGGAAGGAAAGCAGTTTCAGTTAAGACTGCTGAAATGCAGTTAGAGTATCATAAAGGCTTCAGAGGTGTGAAAATTACTTTACTGCACTATTTTTAGAATGAGGTGCTTATCATTTGCTTATGAAATGGATATGCTTTACAAAATGCTTCCTAAATCCATTTTGAAAATGAAAGAAATGGAAACACTCAGAAGAAGACACTTTCCTCCCACTGTGAAACTATCATAATGATTCAAGTTTCATAATTTCTCAGTTAAACGTACAAATGTAGTTTCAACACCATCATCTCAGTAAGGATGTGCCCTTTACCTTATTTTTGGCTAGCAACCATTACTTTGAAAAGCAACCCTTGAACCTGTGAATGGAAATTAATATAACTGCTACAGTACTGTCCATTCAGCTTTTGATTAGAGGTAGCACTTCAGGGTAGGGCAAGAGGCACAATCTTTGGTGCTTTTTTAATGATTAAAGTTGCAATGCAAGATTTTTTTTAAAAAATTAAAAGCAAGAAAAATGTTTTTTATTTTCATTATAAAACCTGGGTTTATATCACTCTTTACAGAGAATCCTTTCTTATGGAAGCCTTCTGTATATAGAATTTTGGACAAAACCAAAAGTCCTCCTGTGCCCCTGCCCTTCCTTTCTCTTTATCTTTCAGCTATATATCGCACTGGTTTTGATGGCTCCTGCAGCTTTGGCTCCTCTGCAAGGTTGGAATGACTCTCAATGCCCTAGCACCTGTTTCAGGTGATAATTTGGTAGCACTAATCTGTTAACTAAGTTTTATCATTTGTAGATGTGATGCCATCTCCTCTGATTTCTATGAGTTTATTGTCACAGGGCCTGACACAAATTCCCTTAACTCAGTCTAACTGCCTACAAGAGACTTTGTCTTGAGGCAAATTTCTTGTATTCAAGTTGATCTTTACAGCTTCTGCAGTTACTCCAAAACAGATTTCAGTCACTTTCTGTTCTTTGAAACAGCACTCTAGACTGACCACAGTCTGAGAGGAAATATAGTTCCTTGTGAACCTTTACCTTATGTGCATTTTAGCAGCCTCCTCTTACAGCTAAGAATATTTATGAGTAAAAAATGAGTAAAAAAAAATAATCTTTATTTACTTACATAAGCTTATTGCACACAGGTGGCAAAAAGGCAGCTTTGTTTTCTTCTATCCATTTTCTTACATTTACAAGAAGCTCCATGGTCCACCAGTTATGAAACTTTTGACAGAGATATTAGTTTGCAGAGGGCTCTTTCTGTGAGCAAACTGCATGTGACTCCATCCCCAGAGCTCAGGGGATTGGCTGGTAGAAGAGGTGTCTTCAGGCTTGATTGTCAAAGGGGACAGGTCCATCAGCCAAAGGTTACTTCATAAAGTAATGGAGAACTAATGTTCCAGCAGCTTAGCTAATAATTGCCTAATGTTTTTGAAATATATATTTTTATCAGAGACACGTTCTGCCCACAGGAGTTTTCTTAATTCTCTTTACTGCATCAACTGGAGCGTGTTACTTCTCTACAGAAACTGCCTTGCTACAGAGACAAACTGCGAGTTAGGAAAATGGGCAAGACCTGGGCATGGACGCTCTTTAGGTTTAATATAGAAACAGGTTTCAAAGCTAAGTGCAACTTGAGAGCAGTTCAAAGTTTCATTAAATATAAATATATATAAGAAGTAGTTTTACACATGCATAGCTATATGTAGGTGTTTCAGGCTTGGTAAGAGCCCCATTTCCTTTTCCCACCTCCCCTCAACCTTGTTAGGCTGAACGTTTGGGGGCATGCATTTGAAAATATTGGGATCTTCTTCTGCCAGATAACAAAAATAAAGATGTCTGTTGCGTTTGTAAGACCAAAAGCAGCTGTCCATAAATGCTCATTTTAATTTGATCCACTCCTTACCAATGTTGTAGCAGGGCTTGCTGGAGAGCTGAACATGGTTCTGTGATGTCCTTTGGGAAAGTGCAGCATATTGTCATCAAATTATCAGGCAAACAAGAAACTGAGAACTACCAGGCATTCCAGATGTGCATTGGTCTTTATTCCCTCACTAGTTTCTGTTCAATGTCTACATAGTTCCTACAGGATTGCTCACTCTGTTTCCCGCCACCTCCATTTTTTAATAAGTAAATGTATAAAAATTTATTTTCAGACTTGAAATACATGAAATGAGTGGTAAACAAAAAACCCCAAGACATTACAAAATCTCAGCACTTTTCTGTTGCTCTTGACATAGCTTAGTCTTCTGATTATATCTAGACTGTGCCTGGTGGGTGAATGTGTATAACATCACAATAAGATTTGTTCAAATTGAGCAGTACCTCCTCCATTGCTTGTGCATATGAGCTGTGCAGCTGCTGGACTCAAGAGTCAGTATGCTGGAACAGTACAAATTTGGGAGTTCTTTAGCTTATACCATAATCATTTTCCAATGGAAAAGAAGCAATGGACTGTGAGTTTGAACTAATATTATGCTCTTATTCCAGTATGTTTAAGGGTCACTCTGTTTTACCTTCATCTCTATCACTTCTTTGCAGTTTAGTTTAAACTAATTACATAATTGATTAAAAAAAAATCAATTTATTTTAGGCTAAAAAGATCCACATGTGAATTACAGTTCCACTATATTAGTACAATCACAATGGGACTGGCAATAATTTCCTCTGAAATAAGCCCAAAGCAATTATTATTTCACTCAATTATAAAAAAGGCACACATTATTTCTACCATCAGAACGGCTGTGGTGAGACACCAGAGCATAGCAAAGTCATTAGGCCTGTTTCTGGACCTACAGACAGGAACATTTCAGTGCTTTTTGTACTGTAGGCTGCTGGCAGACTATTAAGCTGTGAAGGAAAGAGATCTTGCTATTTAAAAATGCACTTTCACTTAAGGGATTGTGACCCAGCCTGGTGGGACCAGGAGAACTGAAGACGCTATTTTAATGAGTGTGGTTTTGAAAAGCTCTGCCTCATCATTGCTAACGTGTATTGCAGAGCAGGACTCCATTCGTTGGGCATGAAAGCCAAGAGATTGTACAAAGCCACAGTAGGAAAAAACACAGATCTTGGAATTAATAGAGACAAGCCTTGTTCACCACAATATTAATGTGCCAGCTTTAACTGCAGGGCTATTGTCTGCAACCCCTACTCTAATCCCTAGTCTCCCCTTTTTTCCACTAGGCAGAATACAAGGTACTATTACCTGCAGAGAAAACTATCTCAGTTGTAGGCTGATAAATCTATTTTGTGGCTAGAGTGAGGTATGAAAACCTGATAGCTAGACCTACTCAGGGAGGAAACAAATGAAGTTCACTTACAAAATTCACCATTAGTATGAATCGGAGGTTATTATCACAGGGTAGCATTTTCTGCAACCTCTTGAAATCAATAGGTTATGAAAAATGCAGTTAATAGCCTCTCCATATGTGTAATAGGTATAAGGAAACGTTGCTCTATTTATTTATTTATTTATTTATTTATTAGAGGGCTAAGAAATGGTTTGCATGGCCTTGGAAGTACTGGGCCACGGAACCCTATTTCTGTGAATTGTATTGGAGAGACAAAGAGAAGAGCCAGTGGTGCTGGTATGCCTCGTGACCTGATTGGGGCCACTGGTCTACTTTGCAATGACTCTTCATATCCACCAAAGCCTGTTCCAGCAGCTGGGGTTTCTGCTTTCACTTTCGCATCAGATCCTTCCCTTTATGCAAAGGTAAGGACTCGATTTGCCAGCTTTTGCTGCCAGAGAAGCGCAAGACTGCTGAAGCACAAAACTTTTACACCAAAATAACTCATCTTTTGCATTGAGGGTGCAGGAAAAAAGTGGTAGTGGAAAAAACTGAGTTTAGGACAGCACCTACTCTATTTTTTTACTTTTCTCAACCACCAGACCAATTAGAGACTTAAATTTAGTAGCTGGTGTCTAGCAAGCAGCATATGTTAACAAAAAACATATAAGCTAAATATTGTGTTTCTAGTTAGAAGAAGTATTCAGGCTCATTGGTCAGGATTTTTACCTGTATTAATGTGATATTTGTCCATTTTTTCTGTTAATCCCTATATATATTTTTTTTTCACCTAACAAACTGATGATACAGACCTAGAATGGTTTAGAGTCCCTGGAAAGGGGAAAGGGAAACAGACCATAAAGCCAGCAAGTACAAATGCTCTCTGCTCTGCCCATTCTACTCCTGAAAGCAAACAGCATTGTGAAAATTGGCTCTCATGCCTTGTTTTTATCATACTTAGTGCTAAGAAGTACTATGAAAGATCTTCACCAGGCGAGGTTTGCATTCACCAGCAATTTGAGGACAAAATCCTTTTAGTATCATTTCAACTTTGCCTTTTTGTCCCTGTGCAATAGACTTAATTATTTACATTAGTGTTAAAATAAAGGAGCTACACTGAAGTGATAATCTGGAGATTCTGCAGGCAGCAGGAAGCAAGTAACTTTCTGCAGCATTAAGACAGTTTTAACTTCTGCTTTTTATCTTTTTTTTTTTTTTAATATTGTAAAGAAAGGTAAAAAGGAAGACATAGATATGACTAAATAATATATTTCACCCAGTTGAACATGCTTCCTATTTTTGGTCAATCCAGTGCTTTTTCTGTTTGTTCTTTGAGAAGAAATAAAAATGAATTGCTTTTTTTAAAAAATGAAAAAAAAAAATTAAAAACCCCTATATAGTTGCTGAAAACAAAAATTCATATTGGTAACAAACCTACTACTTGAAACCAAGAACAGTTATGTTCCTACAAACTAATTAATGCGGCCAAATTTCACTGCTATAGTCATATACTATCAAGGGCCTCAATCTCTGTGGAGGTAAATATAAGAAGCAAGTGAATCACTTGGAGTTTAACTCACGAAAGTTAGAGATCCCAGGAAAACTACTAGAATCTTTATCATTATCACTGTTACTTTTATAGGAAGCCTGATTAAAATACAAGCAGTGATTATAATTTATACAAACACCAAAATCAGACTCACTGAGTCCTTCCTCTTGCCTAAGGTTGTATCTGCAATGAAGAGCCTGTCTGTATGTTCACAGCTTCAGCTTTGATTCTTTCTGATATTCTTGTATTTTTCAAAAAAAAACTTGTCTGGATGAAATTATGTTCACAGCAATCTTTGCATGGTATAGAATATTTTATTTTCCAGCGTAATACTGCCATTTTCTGATATGCCAACTAAACCTATATGATGACTGAAAATTTCTTGATAAATGAACTGTCAGTTTTCTCTTTTTCTCCTTGCCAGCCACCTTCAGCAATGGTCAGATACACCAATTGTTTGTCACTTCACCTGTCTACCTGTGGTGTCTACCACTGAAACACATTCTGAGCAATTCCCACAGTAATAGTACCGACAGCAGAACAACGTTCTTGACAAGTGAGAAGCAGCTCGTCTCCATTCGAAACAGTCTCAAAAGGTTTCAGCTCATTTATGGATCAGAGGTGCAGGAAGGAGGTAATGCAGTCACACATAACTGCGACTCAGTCTCCCAAAAGGAGTTGGGAGATCAGTGCTAGTTACTTAAAAACTGGCTGAGGGACTGTCACCTGCTGCTAGGCCACCAATAGTTCATTTTTAGAGGCCATGGAAGTCCAAGCACTGTGTAGCACTCTCTACAACTATCCACTCTACAATGCAATACCCACAGCTTGTTGCTTTGCCCACGGTGAAGTAGCTGTAGAAAGGAGAATGCTTTCAAGTACTTATGTCAGTAACCCAACAGAGCTGTCGAGGAAAATAAATATGGTGACAATGCCTAACCATGGGTGGGGGGAAGAAAAAAAACCCCAAACTATGTCTGTCTCAACTGTGTAACAGTGTATGAGTGTTAACTTGGGTTTAAATGTCTGCTGATTCCAATTAAGTTTACCATCTTCCTGACACAGAAAGATAAGACAGACCTGACTGCAGAATAAATTCATGTTAGTGGTACACTTTAACAAGTGTAAGGCTGTGTGTTTTCTTCTGTTTCTAAGCATGTAATACATCAAATATATACTGTGTTTTTTCCATGTATAAGTAACTTTAGTCTTTTAGCCCTATTCAGCATTTTTGTATCAAAGCCCCTGATTTCATGCTTTAACTTTAGGAAACAGCAGGACAAAACCTTCAGATATTCAAACAAGCAGTCCAGACCCTGAATATGTGATGTCTTTATATTATGGATGCTCTGTACTTAGTATTTGTAGTACAGTAAAATGA